GTCCCCGGCTGCGGCGGAGTCAGTCTTCTTCTTACTTTCTTCTCTCTTTTTTTAATTAAATTTTAGGACATTTGCAAAAATGTCACTTTTGATGTCTATTTGCAAAAATATCACTAATTATAATTTTTAGAGCCTAAATCTTAAAATTCTAAACCCTAAAAAATCTGTTGACCCCTAAAACCTCTTAAACCCTCAAAACTAAACCCTAATACAACATAATTAACTCAAATATAAATGATATAATAAATAAATAATTTTGAAAAAGTGAATTTTTGCAAAGATTGTAAAAAGGTGGTATTTTTAAAAAATTTTCTTAAATTTTCAAGGTTTTAGTTTAGAGAATTAATATACTGACAAAATTAAAATCAAATCGAGTTTTAATTTAGAAACAACATTTATTGATATGTTTAGCAAAAAAAAACATTTATTAAAACAAAATTAGTATCGTAATTCTTTATTTTTATTTTTTTTGTTTGGTCTTTGGGTTTAATCTTGATTTTTTAGATGCAAATGAAAAATAGTTTAAACTGAATTAAAATCATCATGTTGGGTTTTCGTTTTTTTAGCTCTCTTAGAATTGACTCCGTTTATAGTTAATATACCAAACTGTTTTTTTTTTTTTAATAAAAAACAAACTGTTTTATTCCCGGACGAATAGATTATGGGTCTAAAATCCGCAATTTTTTGAGGTTCTAAAAAAAAACTAGTAGTTAACATCAATAATTGTCTATGAATGTGACTAGGGACACGACGTCGTTGCGATGGCAAGCCCCGAACGTTTTGTTGTTGGATTGGATATTTCCGAAAATGCTCTCAAGAAAGCTAATGAGGTTTAATTTTAATCATCTACATAATTCAAATTTTGTCTTCAAATAACACTGAAAATTAATCATTGCTTTTTTTTAATTACCATATAGAGTTATGGCTCATCCCCGAAGGCAAAATACTTATCGTTCGTGAAGGAAGATGTTTTCACTTGGCGTCCTAACGAATTATTTGACTCCATCTTCGATTACGTGTGAGTTAATATCATGTTATAATGTTACAAATCAAGTAGTTAAAATCTAAATAACTAATGTAATTTTTAACAGTTTCTTCTGTGCAATTGAACCGGAGATGAGACCTGCATGGGCTAAGTCCATGTATGAACTCTTAAAACCCGACGGCGAACTCATAACTCTCATGTATCCGGTAA